GCTCAGGGCAGTGCCTTTTTGAGAAATTTGACGTTTAAAACTTTGAGTATCCCAGCATGCTAAGCTTTTTTAAAATGCAATTCTTCGAATAATATCTTGATGATAACGCCTCCGAATGATCTCCGATTTCGATAGAGCAGACGGAACATTTGGTTTCTGACCTTATGGTTTTAGTAAGTAACTCAACAAGGTAGAAAATGTCAGATAGAACTTTGTAATTCTAATGTAGCGATTTGTTGTGTGATAATAGAAGGCATTAAAGAAATAAGAAAAATGTGTATCCAGTCCAACATGCACATAGCGAAAGAATCAGCTGCGTCGAGGGAAAAAAGGGGACTCAAAAATGATATCAAACAAAGCGTAAAGGTAAAAATCATGTTAATTATGACATTATTTCATATCACAGAATGCTATGGCATATCGACTCACTAGGGACTTTTACAATTCTGAGATTTTGAAATATGTGTCACGACGCGGTGGAATTAGGCGTTCGTCAATTTTTGGCCATGTGGAGTTATTGGTATCAGCGTAAAGTTTATTTATTCGCCTTGCTTCCAATGAAATAAATATCCATTTATCTTGAATAGAATTCAAGATATTTGCGATTGAATGAAGTGAGGGGGTCGCCTGGTTTTAGTGGTGAAATTAGCGAGAAAATGGCTGCCAAAGTTTAGTAACTCCAATAGACAAAGAGTCTTTTAAAACAGAAAAATGACATATTTTGTGCCTCTAATCAATGTTTTTCAGTAAAATTCACATGGAAATGTGTTTTTACATGGACCTAAAAGATGTTTAGCTAAAAAATAAAAATTGGATAAAAATTTCCAAACTTGCTGAAAAAGACCTATTTCTCCGATTTTGTTATTTTGACGAGCGTCTGATTTCACCACGCTGCCTCACATATGTCATACAAGAATATAAGCCCAGCTCACAAAGCGCACACATTCACAGAGGGGAAATACGCCAGAGTCCGCTTTAATCGAAATCTGTGGGAATGCCTGCAGGCACGGTGTATTTCCTTTGGTTCAGCTGTGGTATCAATTTGGAGACATTGCTCAAATATAATAGTGCAGAAAAAAAAATTGGGGATTACACGTTCTTCCGGTTTACTGTCGTTTTTGAGATTGCCATTGCCTGGTTTAAGCAGACTTCACTGTACATGCAAGTGCACGTGGGTCACATATTGACATCAAAGAAGCCACCTGTTCAAGTGAATAAATACACAAGAAAGGAATACTCTCTCTCTCTCTCTCTCTCTCTTCTGGCGCTGTGGCTTCATAAACGGTCAGCGATGCCGACAGAAGGCAGGAACTCAACACTTGCTAGGGGGTCCTTAAAAACTGCTGAAAGTGGGTCACTGAAATGTCCCAGCAGACGGGCAAGTAAGGAATTCTGGTGTAGCATGCTCAGCAAATTGTTCTGTCCTCGCGGTTTTATGCACCCCGCATAATTTAGCTAAATTTGATCATTTTTTGAATAATTTCTGATTATTTTCCTTTATCATTCTTTGTTAAAATTAACAGAATCACAAAATTTCACATTTTTGGGCTTAGTTTGCATTATTTCAGAATTTTTCTTGCATAAAACGACGGGGACAGATTGTTGCCTCAACATTCAAATCGTAAAGGAAAACAGAACAGGTATCAACAAGTAAGGCAGTGACACATTCGACATTCTCAATAGGTGTCGAGACTCAGACACAGCATCATTACTCACCTGACGCTAATTAAATAGAGGCAATGTCTAAAATATTATACCAAAAAATGGGTAAATCACACTGAGCGAGGCACAAAATACATTACAAATGAATGCTCACAGAAATTCTGCACACAAAAGGGAGATAATTTGAAACTATGGTGTATTTTTTACACAAGGTACAGTGGAGAGAGACAGAAGAGTAGCACAATTAATTAACCAGAGATACGAACTGGAAACAAACAAAATTCTGGAACTTTTTCTGACCCAGTAGAAATGCGCAAGTGGGAAATCAAAATTTACAAATAATAATTATTGAATACATTTAGCATCAAGACTATTTTAACATAAAGTGAAATATGACATACACAAAGAAATTAAAAAATAAATAAATGAATTCAGGACGGAACATAATTATTCCAAAAGACAAAAAAATAATTAATGTCTTCAGGCAAAGTCTGGACAACTTTTTACAAAAATCTGGATTTCTGAATTTATCCAGAAAATCAGCAGCTCTCAATAATGCAGATGAACAAAGAAGAAAAAGGAAAGAAAATACGTAGACAGGGGGGAAAACAGTAATTCTATTACTATTAGAATATATTAAGAAAATAGGATTAAGTGTAAAAAAAAAAAGTCCAGTTACCTAAGAAGGTGGAGGAAAATTGCTCTCAAATTCAAATAATCTTATACAAGATTTTCTAATCTACTGCTGCCAGAAATTCTATTCAATATCATCCCTTCCTCTATCTCCTTCTTTCTCTCTTCCTCTCTCCCTATCTCTTTCTCTTTTTCACTTTCTCTATCCCGCTCTCTCTCTCTCTCCCTCTCTCTCTCTCTCTCTCCCTCTCCCTCTCTCTCTCCCTCTCCCTCTCTCTCTCTCTCTCTCTCTCCGCTCTATCTCACTCTCTCCGCTCTATCTCTCCCCCTCACTCATCCATGTACATAGCCTCAGACTCTTCCCCCACATCAGCTGACATCAGTAAGGAAACCACTGGGCCAGAATTGAGAAACAAGAAATAAAATTAAAGGTAAACACTCAATGAAAAGCAGCCAGCAATTAATTAACCCTTCCAGCCCCATGCGCATATATTTTCAGCAGCGCTTGTACCTCCCATCGTCCCAAGAGCGTGTATTGTCAGTTTTGGGGGGATACCGAATTTTCACACTTTTCGAAATTAGCGAACCTAATTTAACGTAAATTTTCGTATTATTTTTTTCATTTACCTATATAAACATTGTTGGATGTTATTATCTAAACCTCATTACAAAAATACTTTATCATTTTTTAGAATGCATGCCTCTTTTTCTGAAATATTGCTGTATTGGCTGGGACTGGGGTTAGGGAGGGCATAGGAATGGCTGGTGCTGGAAGGGTTAACACTTACAGTACTGAAGGCTGATATAGTCAAAAACCCTCAAGTACCCCCCCACCAGTTCAGAACACTGCAGCCTTGATAGAATTTTTAATTTAAAAAAAACCTTGACAGCCCAAGAAAAATCACTTGAAAAATTCAGAGAGGTTCATCAACCATTCAGCTATCATATAGAGTGACTTCCTTTGGTATTTACTTCAGTGCACAGCGTCAGTTCGCTGTTTTAACACTCTGCCATCAAAGGCAAAGACATTTTTGGGAAAATCCAAAAAACCAGGCGGTAAACATCGCCGATCGGCAAGATGTGACGGCAAAGAGTTAATTATCTTTAGTGTACCTGGTCGCGTCATTGACAGAAGTCACCAGCAGAAGTGAGCGCATACTTGAGCCTAGAGACCAAAGTCGCTGACAGTACTGTAAGTGTTAAGTTATCAATCAAGTATTTTGACTATATATTGTAAGACTCCGGCATGCACCATTTGGAAAAGTGACGTATAATGGAGTCTTACACTGAGCAGCCAATATCGTCACTGCTGCAAACAATCCACTAAGTCCAAATTTTGATCACTTTTCGCTTTTTACACCCTCTCAAAGCTCTATCAAAGATGCAACTTTCAACATCACTAAAATGCATTTTAAGGTTATGGTCATGGCTTACAATGTTTTTGCTTTTCATAATTCCGATAGGAACCACATAACAAACACTAGTCGTATGTCTCTGATGTAAAAACTACCCAAAACGGACTTTAGTGGATTTCTTGGGGCACCAAGGATATGCTCTGTAAAGAAAACTGCAGAACTTAATATTTCAAGTGATCAGCAAAAGTATACTACAACTACTAAACACAATGAAGAACTTGACATTTCGAGTAGCCAGTTAAGTATACCCATCAGAAAGCAGTGTAGAAATTGACATTTCGGGTGATCAGTAAAGTAAACACTCTATAAAGAAATGAGTGGACATAAATAAATATTTCAAGTCCTCAGCAAAGTATGCATTCTATAAAAAAAAAGAATGTATAACTTAACATTTTTAAGAAACAGCAAACTACATATTCTGAAGAAAAGAAAATTAGAGGTGTAGATCGTATTATTTCAAGCAATCAGTAAACACAATCATTACTTTTTTTTTGTACATTAGCCCTATCTGTACGTCGTGTTTTACAATCGTATCCATACGACGTGGGGAACTCTGTACCATCACTTTCCAAAGAGGAAATTTACTCGTTAATCCGATCCGTACGCTTTGCATAGCATACTGAAAAGTTTTCAAAGAGGTATTCGTGCTTGAAGAATTCTAAAATGTGAAGAATACAACCCAGGGGGTACAAAATGACCCCAGGACGTACAGATAGGGTTAAGAGCCCTAAACAAAATGTGAAAGTAAAGCATCATGGAGAAGCTATATACAGAGGAGTCTGCTTAAACCGAAATCTGCAGGACAGCAGGATTTCCTTTCGCTTAATCATGTATTTGGTTTAGACGGACTGATGAAATAGAGAAGGACAATTCAGGGCTTTTTTTTTGGGGGGGGGGTGGTGGTTTGTACCACTGTTTTTGGATTACTAGTGTTCCGTTTGAGTGAACTTCACTTTCTGTCTTCAATAGGCGCTGAACTGAAGAATGTATCACACATACATCGTATTGGTCCCAAAGATCATCATTCGTATGTGTGTCATCGTGGTGAAATCTGGCGCTTGTAAAAATGATGAAACCAAAGAAACCAACACATTATCTTTAAAAAAATTTCCATTAAAAAAAAATATTTCAGTGTGGATTTTACTGAAAAACCTTGATAAAAGACACAAAAAATGTAATTTTTCAGTTTCTAAGGACACTCAAGCTTTGGAAGTCACCAAACTTTGGTGGGCATTTTCTTGTTACATTTACCTCTGACACCATCAACCTCCATCTCCTTCAATGGCAAATATCTCGACTTCTAATCAAGATAAACGGGTACTTTTTTCTTCAAAAGCAAGACAAATAAACAAGCTTTGCGATTATACCAGTAACTTCATACGCCCAAAAACTGACAAGCGCCTGATTCCACTGCGTCGTGACACACGTACCATCACAGTAGTTCTGCAAGCCACAACAGCTAGCTCAGCCCAACATTTTGCTTCATATTTCGAGTCAGTATCTAGAATCTAGATATATATTATATGCAATAATAACAGAGACTGGAATTTCCTTCAGGAAGATTTTTAGAACATTCATGAAGTATCACTCTGTAAAATGTATATTGTAATAATATAGATATATTCTAATATTATATACTGGCACATGGGCATAAAAAAAAAGAGTTAAAATTTAAAAGATTCTCAACCACATACAAGAAATATCACAGTAACTTGATTTGCACTGTACATGTAAGTGCACACAATATGGCCTTCTTTGCGTTGAAGACTTACTCATAATATTATAACCTTGGTCAGTCTCGTTCATCTGTGTTTTGTTCATAAGTCTGTTTTATTCTGCTGTGTTTTGTTCATAATTCTGTTGGATTCTGTTGTGTTTTGTTCACAATTCTGTTGTATTTTGTAAATTTGTACATAATTTTGTTGTCTTATGTTCATAATTCTGTTGGATTCTGTTCATAATTCTGTTGTATTTAGTTAATTTGTACATAATTTTGTTATCTTATGTTCATAATTCTGTTGGATTGTGTTAATTTGTACATAATTTTGTTGTCTTATGTTCATAATTCTGTTGTATTTTGTTAATTTGTACATAATTTTGTTGACTTATGTTCACAATTCTGTTGTGTTTGTCCATAGTTCTGTTGAGTTCTATTCACGTTTTGTTCTGTTTGGTTGGTTCTGTTCACAATTCTGTTGTTTTGTCTCTTTTCCATATTTCAGTTGTATTTCGAATATCTGTTGTATCTGCCATAATCTGGTGTGTGCTGTTCATAACTATGATGAGGTGATTTGCATAATTCTCTTGCATCTTCCGTACATCTAGTGTGTTTATTCATATTTCTTTGGGGTTCTTTTTATATATCTGTGTGGCCTTTTTCATGTTTCTGGTGCGATTGTTCAAAATTCTGTTGTGTCTTGCAGGTTAATCGTGTCGAATCGTGTTCCCAGGTAGGAGTTGAGGCTGAGGGAGGCAACTCCGTACATTTTGTCCATCTTGGTCTGACCCAGCGAGTCGGTGAAGGTTCCTCCCGGCATCCGTAGGTTCATGAAGTCCCACACAGACTTGTAGCAGAAGCGGAACTGCCCCTGTGGGGGGATCGTGCATTTTTCAGTTTTAGTAAGAGTTTTGCAGCCCTTGCAACACAAATAGGTCATATAATAATATACGTGTCGGAGGTGAGAGGCCTTACTAGAGAGTAACATACAGTAGAGACATTCTGATTAACACAGAAGAACTAACAAGTTGATAGTCATTGATAAAAATATTCACAAATCATTACTGGGAAAGGAAATAAATTCAAAGTTTTGAGAGTGGTACCATGTGGTAAGTCATTAGAAATTGTGATAATAATTATAATAATAATAAAAACAAAAATAACAACAATAATACTAATAACAATAACAGTAATAATAATAAGAAGAAGAACAATATTAATAACAACAATAATGACAATAATAATTGAAAATAATAGAAATGAAATAATACCAATAATCAATAATAATGATAACAATAATATCTGCGCATTTCCATTTTCTAAAAAAATGCTCAGAGCCCACAAGATTACTGTCAAAGAGACATTACATTTTACTTGACAGGTATAGATCTATACCTAGAACATAATATTTTGTAGACAAAAAAAATTCTATGAAAAAACCCCCCCAAAAAACCAAACAACAAAAAACAAAGTGCTTACATAATCAGCAATGAACTGCGGCCGGCGTCTCTTGATGTGTTTTATGGTGCGGTACACATCAACTTCTTCGTCCTCCTCCATTTTCTCGCAGATGATGGACAGGATCGCGAAGAGGCCCGAGTGGGAAGATCCATCCTGGCAATGTACGACCACGGGCCGCTCGTTCTTGCACGACTCTTCCTGCCAGTTAAACACCATGTCCATGAGGTCCAGCATCAAGGTCTTCGACTGGGGCGTCAGATTGGGCTGCTCCCAGGCGTTGAACTGAAACTGTCGCACCAGCTTCCCTGGTCGACTCGGGTGGTCCGTGCTGCAGATTTTGAAGTTCCTGATGGTGATGTTGTCCTGCTGGTAAACGGCCGTCGTCTCGATGAAGAATGGCTCAAACTGTTTGAGGTTGACGCTGGGCCAGTACTCGGCGCAGGTGTCGTCTTCGTTTTTGAAGTTCTCCACCATGACGATGGTGCGGACGTCGTGGTCGTAGATCAGCTTCCAGAAGTCGATGATGGTCGTGTGGAGAGGCGTCTGCGTGATGATGAACTGATTTTTTCTCAGATAGCCATCGACGAAGAGAGCGTTGATGTAGTCCGTCGGGTTGAGACCTCCCGGGGAGATGAGAATGGGTCGGTGTTTTTCCGCGGGGAGAACGTCGAGGTAGCGGTTCTTCTGTATGTTGACCTCCAGGAGTCCCGCCTTACACTCGTCTCTGCGCGGGCCGCGCGTGAACGAGTCGAGCAGCTGGAACTGATCCCGGAGGTAGGTGCAGTTAGTTCGCGGGTTCCTCTGTGTCCAGTTGTGGTAGCGTTCCTTCAGGTCAAAGTCGATAAGCGTGTCCCCCGCGTGGAACTCTTCGAACAGTGCCTCATAGATAAACACGTACTGCTTCAAGGTGCGCACCATGTACGGCCGATCTTTCCGGATCTTCCTCACAAAGTCAAAGGTCATGACCTGTCCCTCGTTAGCGTACTGTTCGATGAGAGCATCGACCGCGATGAAGACGCCTGTCCTGGCCACCCCAGTGCCGCAGTGGACGAGGATAGGGCCCGGGTCTTGGTGGTGGTAGCGTCGGACCTTGTACCTCATCTCCAGTAATGGTATGGGGTCATCCGGTACACCGTGGTCAGGCCAGGACGTGAACTCAAACAACTTGACGATCTTGGAGTTCTCCTCACCGAGGAGCGTGACGGAGATGGTGCGGACGATATAATCGGCAAACTCGCTCTGGTCCACCAGCTGGAACAGGAAGTTGCCGTAGCTGGTCTTGGTCTGGTCCGGCCAGTACTGCGTGCATTTGACGATCTCATCCTCGACGACATTGGTGATCATGACGACCGTCTTAATGGAGCGCTGATAGATCAGTCGCCAAAAGTCCAGAACTGTTCGGTCGTCAAACGGACTCTGCGCCGCGATGTAGGCTGGGGTCTTGTTGTAGCCTGGGATGAAGCTGGCGTTGATATAGGTGCTGTCCGAGTTACTGTCTGGTCTCAGCTGCACAAGACTGTGGTCGTAGGGCAAGAGGTGGGGAAAGCGATTCAGCCTTTTGTTTCGCCTCGCTGCATTATCTGTCGCTCGCCTTGGCTTATGAGGAAGGCTCTGAAACTCATTTTTGAAAGAAACTTTTGGTATGCCTAGATCGTCCATTGTTTCTGCATTTACAAAAGGTTTGGATCCTGGCGCATAGACCAGATCACGCCCAGCAATGATATGGCGTTTTCCTTTGAGGTCGTACGTGTGACTCCAGTATAGCTCTGGGTCGTAATCGTCTTTGTATGGCGGAAGCGCAATCTTGCTGGGGTCATCCTCTTGAATTGCATATGGATTGAAGCGATTCCGTCTCTGCCACCACCAGTACAACAACAAGAGCAGGAGGATAATGATAACGAGGAGAATAAGCGCGACGATAATTCCGATCAAAGCACCGTTGTCGTCATCAGAAGACTGCAGTTGTGGCGGGGCGGGAGGGATGTAGGGCACGGTTCTCCGCGGAGGGTCAAGGCTGGCGTAGCTGACCTTTGTGTCGTTGCCCACTGCGCTGACCACAACGTAGTGGACGGTGTAGAGCGCCTCTCGCTCCAGCGCGCTATTGTTGTAGCCGCCCCAGCTCAGACCGTCGCCCACGGTGAAGTCCATCTTCTGCGGCACCTGCTCCTTGGTCAGCTGGGCCACCACCGTTCCGGGCACTCCCGCGGCTCTTTTGTCACGCGATAAACCTAAGCAAGACACACACACACACGGTAAAATTAACAAGAAAATAGCCGCAAAAGTTTAGCGACTTCCAATGCTTTAGAGTCCTTGGAAACTGCAAATTTACATTTCAAGTGCCTTTGAACAATGTATTTCAGCAAAATCCACACAGAAATGTGTTTTTAAATGGGCAGAAAAGGTGTTGAGCCTAAAAAAGAAAAATCAACAAAAACTGCCCTATGGGCAGATATAAGAAATAATATGCTGTTTCTTCCACGACATTTTTTTGACAACCATCAGATTTCACCATGATGTCTCCTATATTACACAGTCGAGCACATACATAGTGAAACACACACAAAGCATACTCATTTTCAAGTCCACAATTTTTTTTCTTTTACATGTATATTCTTTGTATTTAAAACACATGTACAGCATAATTCGGGTATAACGAAAGGATTTCTGCCGCCTGTGAATTTTACTTTGTGCATGCTAGACGGTATCTACATTTCTAGTCATAACACAATATACTGTTTGTATATTGTTATCAATAGTTGTAAATACTCAGAGCCTGTGTTCTTAATTATTTGGGGTTGAGCTCTTTATAAATGTCATAATAGATTATTATTGTTGTTATTATTATTATTATTATTATTATTACTTTTATTATCATTATTACCACCATTATTATTAGTAGTAGTGGTATTATTATTATTATTATTATTATTATTATTATTATATTTTTATTATTATTATTATTATTATTATCATTACTATTATTATATCATTTTTATTATCATCATCATTATTATTATTATTATTATTAATGGTTGTTTGTGGGGGTTTTCATTGACAAATGCCATATACTTGGGACTTGCACTTTCTATGTAACACAGAAAAATGACAACGCCACAAAACATTCACGACAAAATGTCTGTAGCTGTCCAAAACTTTGTATAATAAGATATATTTTTTGTTCGTTTGTTTGTTTGTTGCTTCTTTTTTTTTTTTTTGGAGGGGGGAGGGGGGGGGGGGGGGTATTTTAGTTTTTTTTTTTTTTTAAATGGGGTGGAGGAGGAGAGGCACAAGAAGTGACCAACACTGTCAATGTAGAGTGATCTTCATTAATAGTATTCCAAAACAGATGGCTAATTTTGAACATGATTACTGAAGATAGTTAATCATGTTTCTCTCTCCTGTTCCCAATGACAAATACTTATTTTGCATTTTTGTAAGTTTATGCACTCTTCCTTTGGCCTTTATGCATATGAGACTGTGGAGCATCACCTGTCTCACTGCACAGCCCTAAATGACATCAGAGCTACCCTTCTCCCTCCGAGACCTAACATAGACAACACACTCTATGGAACATTACAGCAACTGCAGCAGACCTGCACTTATCACTACATGGCATTGGACAGAAGGGCGAGAGCCCAGCTGTTGCTGGATCGATAACAACAACAACAACAACAACAACCTTTGGCCTTTACGACAAAAAAATCACACACAAAAATTAGAATAGACACATTCCGTTACCATCAGTTTACCAGGTTAGTTACTTTGTTTCATGATAATCAAACATCACAAAGTAAGTAGAAGAACAATACAAACCGTGATTTTGCTCTTTGGCCGTGACACGCTCCCAAGACATGAAGGGAAAAATAGCTGATCTCTTCCTCCTTTCCGGTACTTTCTCCACCTGAGGAAGGAAGAAAAAGAAAGATAAGCCTGTTTTATACACAGTTTTGTTGGGAGATACAGTTCAGTCCACTTAAACTGAATTAGATGAGGAACTATCAAAATAGGTTCACCTGTTTTGATTTAATGACCAAGTGATGTTTTTGTCAATTTTATACTTCGTACCAAAAAAGGGCCCCGACATAGTTTATTAAAAAAGTTTTAGTAAGTTTTTAATGGCCCAGTGCCTCTAATTATCGGCACAAAACCTCATATTTGCAATAACGAACACTTGGATTCAACGAGATTTCAGGTAGTAAGGTTTTACAGCGCTTGCAACTGCATAAGGTCATATGAGCGCAATAGTGGGTTTTCTATCACAAGACTACCCACCCCCTCTACAGAGAACACGTACTTGTACGATCGAAACCTCCTCCCATGATAGAGAGATAAAGATTTAAAATAAAAATCTGCTGTTACCTGTATCTGATAGGCTGTGACCGGCCCGCCAGAGAGCACCACGGGCTCTATAGCCACAGTGAGGCTGGTGTAGCTGGAGTTGACGAACACCGGGGCCACGGGGGTACGGGGTCGAACGTGACCTGGGGAAACACGAGTACAGTATTTCAGGGACGGAGAGTAGAGTTGGGTCGGGCTCGCACTATTTGCGTCCGCGAGTAACGATCCCGTCCGTCCGCTCGCCCCAACTCTAACAGAGAGTTTTACTATCCTCTTCTCCTGAGTGGTGACAAAATAGAGGTATAATACTCTTCTCCTAAGTGGTGACAAAATAGAGGTATAATACTGTCTTCTTCCACAGAGTGGTGACAAAACAGAGGTATAGCACTATCTTCTGTCACCAAGTAGCGACAAAACAGAGGTATAATACCATCTTCTTCTCCTGAGTGGTGGCAAAACACAGGTATAAAACTATCCCCATCATTGAGTGGTGACAAAACACAGGTATAATACTTTTCCCCTGATTGGTGACAAAACACAGGTATAATACTACCTTTTTCTCCTGAGTAGCGGTGAAACAGAGGTATAAGACTATATTTGCACTGGTGCAGAAAGTATTGGAGTCTGTGTTTTCGAATCAGGCCAGAACCGCTATATGTCATGTGCTATTATTACAATGATTGAATTCTTCACCACTGGCATCTGTGGTGTAGCGGTTATGGGCTTCCCTGTCTCATGCAGGAGACCCAAGTTCGAGTCTCGAGTGAATAGGAACTTTTTATCGAGTATTCAATTTTGCCAGTGAAAGCTAGATTTTCAAGACCTCTATGTCTATTCAGGTGTCCTAAAACCTACATTTGTCGTATCCTGATTGTTTTTAACATTGAGCATCCCACGTAGGCTTCATCAAGCACTACCACATTTGATTTCTTTTCCTTTCCTTCCACGATACTCATAGCAGTCTCCTAAGAAACCACATTTATGTTGCTTCTATTTTATTTTCACTGTATCACTAATGAGCTAAATCTTCACCTGTGCGGAAAGTGTCGGAGCCCGTGGAGAGGACCGTGCTGTCGCTGAGCGCAGAGAGCCGCATCGTGTACAGCGTGTAGGGGCTGAGGCTGCACGAGGAGAACTCCCGCGACGTGGCGTCCAGTTCTGTGAGAGTGACCAGCTTGGAGTCTCCGGAGTCCTCTCCCAGCCTCTCAACCGACAGCTGCAATAGAAGGAGGAGAAGAAAGAGAAAAAAGAAACTTTAGTAGTGACTTAAAAAACAAACAAAATCAGTGACTCAAAAAAACCAAAAAAACTTTTGTGACTCAAAAAACCAACAGCTTTAGTGACTCAAAAAACCCCCAACAACTTTAGTGACTTATCCAAAAAAATTTAGTGACTCAAAAAAAAACCCCAACATCCCCCCCCCCCACTTTTTTGTGTGCAATAATAAAGATCACTTCTATACACACCCACTCCCTGACAAGAAAGAGGAAAAAAAACTTAAGCAACTCCAAAAAAAACCCCCCACCTTCCCCTCCCTCCCCCCCCCCTCATTTAAAAAAAAGTGTAATAACAAAGATCACTTCAATAATAGAAGCACCCACTCCCTGAGACAAAAGAGAAAAAAAAACCTTAAGTGACTCAAAAAAAACCTTAAGTGACTCAAAAAAAACCTTAAGTGACTCAAAAAAAAACCCCAACAACATACCCCCCCCTCCTCGTTTTTTTTAAGTGTAATAACAAAGATCACTTCTATAAGCACTCACTCCCTGGAGGCTGTACGCTCTTCACAATAAAATAAAATGTAGGTGATTTTACGCCATCATCTACACAATTTAGACCATTAAGAAGGTGAGCATTTTTTTTTGGTGCCAGGCCCGAGAAGTCCGTTGCAGTCGCTCTCCTGGCTGGGTGACTAGATGGGGTATTTTGTACTGCTGGCTGGGTGACTAGATGGGGTATTTTGTACTGCTGGCTGTGTGACTGCACAGAGTTAATTGCAGATATCTCAACTTCAGTATAAGAAAGATGGGTATTTTTGTATTTCATCAAAAGTAAGACAAATGAACAAGCGTAACCCTTTGAACCCTAGCCACAAGTACACCAGCGAGCAAGACCCTATCCTCTTATTTTTTAGTAGAGGTTTTACGGCGCTCGCAACTGCATCAGGTCATATGAGCGCCAGAAGATTAGAGGTGTTACAAGAGAGTAACAAATATCAAAAAGAAGAAGGGGAGATAAGGACGATAGATGTTGGATGGGAAAGAAAAAGCAAACCACACTAGAGCACCTGCCAACCACCCACACCCTATCCTGAACCTGGCCTGCCTGAAACAAAATGCCCATAGAAAACAGTGTTAACTACACATGGCCTTACTGATTATTTCGAAGATCTTTCTGAAAAAGATGCTGGTAATGTCAAGACGAGAACTACCATGAGTGGGACATAGAATGTGATTCTGACGATGATGTGATTCTGACGATGATGTGAACGAAGGTGTGAATCGCTCAGGAGCTCAGACAGAGGGGCACGGTAGCCTCAGGAGGTCAGGGCTCAAAGGGTTGGTTTTAGTTTTAGTAGAGGTTTTACGGCGTTTGCAACAGCATAATGTCATATGAGTGCCAAAAGATTAGAGGTGTTACAAGAGAGTAACAAACATAAAAAAGAAGAAGAAGGAGAGATAGGACGATAGATGTTTGATAGGAAAGAAGAAACAAACCACATCAGAGCACCCGCCAACCACCCACATCAAAGGGTTAAAGATTATTCCAATTTAACTCAACTCTTTGAACCCCATCGGACGCTTCGGCAGTAATAACCCTGTTCCCCACAGGACACTCCGGCAGTAATAACCCTGTTCCCCATCGGACACTCCGGGGGTAATAACCCTGTTCCCCATCGGACACTCCGGGGGTAATGACCCTGTTCCCCATCGGACACTCCGGCAGTAATAACCCTGTTCCCCATCGGACACTCAGACACGTAATAACCCTGTTCCCCATCAGACACTCCGGTGGTAATAACCCTGTTCCCCATCGGACACTCCGGTGGTATAACCCTGTTCCTCATCAGACACTCCGGTGGTAATAACCCTGTTCCCCATCAGACACTCCGGTGGTAATAACTCTGTTCCCCATCAGACACTCCAGTGGTAATAACCCTGTTCCCCATCGGACACTCCGGCAGTAATAACCCTGTTCCCCATCGGACACAGGGAGCGTCCAGTACTAATGACAAATGTTTTGTTTTATATAGTGCTAGTTTTTGCTTGTTTTTCGAAACCATTACCAAACCAAGTTTTTACCAAACCAAGTTTTTTTGTAATAACTAAGCCTTTGTTTCCGCTATTTAGAAGTTGGAGGCAAAGTTTTGTGGTTATAATGAGACATAGTGCACCAGGTTTAGGTGACTGTAGAAAAAAACTCCGGGAAACGGTGGAAAAAACTCAAAGCTAAAAGAGTTAACGCTGCATACTGTAAATTGACAAGTGGCCGATTCCAGCATGTCGAGACACAAGTCAGCTGAGACACTTATTTGTCCCCGTGGATTTATGCACTCCGCATAATTTAGCCAAATTTGATCATTTTTTGCATAATTTCTGATTATTTTCCTTTATCATTCTTTGTTAAAATTAACAAAATCGCATAATTTCACATTTTTGGGCTCAGTTAGCATAATTTCATAATTTTTCTTGCACAAAACGACGGGGACAGACTTACAGCCCTTTTAATCGACAATCGACGTTACAAGGGTAAAAAACCTCACCCTGAGCTGTGTAATAATGGCCTCCAGGCCTTTGGGTATCTCCCAGGTGATGTTCAGACAGGCAGTGCTCTTGCCGGACACCTCCAGGGTGAGGGGCGGGGCGAGGGCGGGGTCAAAGGGCACGGTGCGCACGGCGGCCTCCAGCTGAGAGAAGTTTGCCGTGGTCTGGTTGTTGAGCGTGCTCAGGGCCACGTAGTAGATCATGTAGTAACTCTCCCGCTCCAGATTCTGGGGAGGTAAAAAAAGTCGCAAAATACACTCACGTTTGTTCAAGTCACATAATTTGTTCATGTCGCATTTGCTCATGTTGTATTTTTTCAAGTCGCATTTTTTCAAGTCGCATTTTTTTCAAGTCGCATTTGTTCAAGACGGTCACCCATTGCTGAGGAGGAAAAATGTTATTTTTGATACATGTATGTCTTAGACAGTATTATTTTTATATATATACATAGAAAAAACACAAAGGATGGGGGGGC